TCATAAAATGTTGGGTGTTTAACTGTATTAGGGTCTTTACCCTAATTTTCTCCCCATATCTCGATTATTTCTCATGTTAGGACTCCCTTGTCAATGAGCTTTTTTATTTCTTTTAACAATAGCCTACAATTCCCCGTAGAATGTCTAGATGCCCCCAAGTGGAAATCACATACATTATTTTGATCATAACTATGAGAAGAAGGGTTCAATGGCTGGTTTTTACAAAACATTTTTAGATGAATTAAGGGACAACTGGTGCTATAGATAAATTGGGAGACAGCTGGTGCCATTATATTTCTCAAAATTAGGCACCCTGAATTTATATGGTATGCCCAAATCAGGGACCAGACTGAGTTCTTTTTTTTTCTAGTTCTTTGTGAGAGACGTCAACACTTTTCATAGCTCTACTTGCTTCCTTTAACTGCTCGAATTTATTTTTAAATTGCCTTGGATTCATGAAGCTTTTCTTTAGATTCGGGTGAGATGCCCCAGGGTAGGTTATCATTTTTTACGCTTTAATCTGATAACACTTATATCCTTTAGCAACTATTTCCTCTTTATCGGCAGCCTCGGTTACCAGTATCTAGATCATTTGATTTAATACATCTTATAGAGAACTCAATGCTTGATTCTTCATATCTTGTTGTAGCCCAGTCAATTGCTCTTGTAACCGATCTTGAGATTCTTTATGAGATTGCAAGATTGTTTTCATTTCTTTATTCATGATGACGATGAAGTGGTATGAATGAATGCTCTTTGTATTACTGTCATATAACACTTCATATATTATTTTTATGCTTTTATAATTAATGTATGTAAAATACTTAAATAAATAAATGCTATGTAAATGCATGTGTGCAAAAGGTGTCATTCCAGAGTGACCATCTTAAAACAACTTTCATTGAACACAAAATTTTTAGTATATCAAACAAACTTTACAGATAAGGAATAGTTTTAACTCCTAACTTCTCTATCCCTCTTAAAAGCTAAGTTAATTTCCACTCATACTCGGGTGTTGAGTTGCCAATCAACTTTAATTCTCTCGTAAAGCCAGCTAAATCAACCAGTTTATGAGCCACATTGTTTGCTTGGGCAGTAGATTTCTTCATGACATTGTCTTTTTCCTGCATCTTTTGTGTCAACTCTCGGAGTTATAGACAATGTTGTTCATTTTTCCTTGTAAGAAATCTTTGTGGCTATGAAGTTCTCGTACAAGATCTCCATAATCATCTACAAACTTCATTAATGTCTTATTTTTTAGCCCTAGTGGCTTCTAGTTCAACATCATTCTCATACTTGTGGCGTTGATATGAAACTTTCATATCAGATATGGACATATTCAGCATCTGGTTTTTGACTTGGCATCTTCCTAAATCATTTATGACAATATTGCGCATTTCTTTCGTAATTCATAAATTATAAGAGAACCTCTTGGCTCGACCTTCATGTGTGTTGCAATTCTTTTTCCAATGTTCAACATCGTTTTTCAGTTTTAATGACCCCTGTTGTCCACTTTTCCTGGGTATTTCCTATACCAGTATTTTTAAAGGCTAGACTGATCCTTTGAAAACCATCATGCATGGCTTCCATCTCTCCACTCAGTTTATCATTTTCATTACTCAAATGACGAATTTGAACTTCATACTTTAGCAAATCTTCTTCCTCCTGAATGCCTCCACTGATATCCTTATCTTTGAACACTTTTGGCTCCAATATAATAGGATAATCAGTTACCAAACTAAGTCGATATTCCATCTTGAACTCTAAGATTCCATGATCCAAAAGATGTTGGACTCGATGCTTGAAGGCGGTGCAATTCTAAATGGAATGTCCTTAAGCTCTGACATGATATTCACAACAAACATTGACGTCATACCAATTTGGATACGGAGGTTGCCAAGGTTCAAATAATGTGGAGCCACCTCTCTGGCTTTTAGTAGCTTCTCGTACAACTTCTTATATGATATAGGGATAGAATCAAAATGAGAGCCACCTCTCGACTTGGGTTGAACTTGAGTCTCTGACTTTGGGAGCAAATTCTTAAATATCAATGAGTTTTGATTGCATGACTTCTTTTCATCTCTGGGAACTTCTACATTTGTCACCATTTCTTTGGTATTTTCAGATAATTTGTTGATACGAATGGTGATCATGTGTGATCTCTCAGATTGACTAGGATCCGCTTGTTATAAAGTAATCCCTTGTGCATCTGGCATTGTAATATTGTTTTTATCAAGCTCTTTCTCTTCTTGTGTAGAAGTCTCTTTTCCTTTGGTCAAAGCAGATATTTTACCCATCATCTTGGACATTTTCCCTCTCATATATCGCATCTCCTTTTGCTCTTCATCGGACATACTATCTTTGGGTCAATAGCTCTCCACTATTTTCGGAGCTTCCTCAAGATGCCATTTCCTAGTTGTATTATAGTTTACTTGATCATGAAACCTTTTGTAATTATGAAAACCTTTTACTTTAATGACCACTCACAAATCAACACATTTTTATTATGTCATGATCATGCAATGCAAGTAAAAAGAAAGTAACATAAAAACAAGTTAGTATAAATAACAAAATAAATAAATTAATAAGCTAATGCAAAACAAAATTGCAAATAGAAATAAGAGACAGAGAAAACTAAGTCAAGAAGAATGGTTAATACCAATCAATTAAAATAGTAGGAAAATATATTTATGGAAAGAAAAAATTCTACCCAACATGGTATTTACCCTGACGTGTTTTTATCAAATAGCAATCTTATCCATAAATGTTTTCTACCCCCATGCTTTGTTATTTACAAAAAAATCTTAACTGCACGATATCTAATTCACAAACTTTGTAAGAAAATATAAAACTTAACTGCATACTTTTCTAGTTCTCATGTTTTTTGCAAAATAAATTAAAAAATTCGAGAAAAAGGTTAGAGTGAGTTCCCCTTTTATGAACTTTGAAGAACCGTAGACATAAATTCCATATGAAACTGGCAGAAATTCGGTATTACTACTAGGGTCCTCGAATTATCCTTTGCTGGTGCCCTTATGAGACTGCCAGACCCTCGATCCTTACCCATTATAGGCTTAAACGAATCAAGTTCAATTCGAGAGGATGCATTTTCTTATGTCCATGTGAGGAAACTCAATGTTTCACTCGTAAACACGAGGCCTATACACCCCATATGTTACTTGCTAAAACCCATGCGGAGAAAAATATTTTTTTCTCACGTAAGCGTATCGTTCACCCCTACCTAACGGTACATAGCATAGTTAGAAGGCTCTAAATGTCAAACGGTTATGGCGTGTGTGAGGGGAAACTCACAACCCTTAGCCTCGATCCCAGAACAATCAAACCAAAAAGGTTAGAAATCTAAAACACGTAAACCAATCACATTAGTATGACTAATAAAAAAATACGATGTGATGCAAACAAAACTTAAGGATCAAAATTCATATTTGTCATTTTAAAAATATGGCGTATAATCGATTACGACCTGACTCTCTAATATCCCTAGTGGAGTCGTCAAGCTGTCGGAACGATCCTTAAGCTTTTTAGGGCTATGATGGGGATCGATTCAACTTAATCTTGGAAAAGGTTGGGGGTTTGTTGTAGTTAGGCTTGTCTGGGATGAAATGTAATTATTATTTAATAATAATAATAATAATAATAATAATAGGGACGAAAATCACTGTCTATATTATTAATATCATTTTATTTCTTTATTTTAAAATAGATTTTGTAAAATTCAAATATAATTGAATTAAGAATTAACAACATCATTACTTATGTTTGTGTTTTGTCGTTTTTCTTAAGTGATTTCAAAAGATTTAATATATGATCACATTCGTTTTTATTTAATTAAGATGCGGTTACCACAAGTTGATTGTCGTTAAATATTTTAGTATGATCACACATTTAGTCTCTACACATTCTCTAAATTTTTAATAGATTAAATTAAATTTAATATATCAATCGAATAATGTCATGTGTCACCAGTATTACGTGTCGTTCCATGTGTCACTATTCGGTTAGAAGACTAATTTTAATTTAATTTAATATATTTAATTTTCACTAATCAGAGGATGACATGTGTCACCATCTGATCGAAAGAAAACAAAGCAAAGCAAATTTAAAATATATATTTTATGTTAAAATAATTTTGAAGTAAAGATAAGAATAGAATATATTTAATAATTTAAAGTAATAATATATTATATTTAATTAATTAAAATAAATATATATTTAATATAAAATATATTTTTAAAAGTTTATATAAGAATAAAATATATACTTTTGAATTTAAATAAAAATAAAATATTTTTAAATTAAATTAATAATAAAATATATTTAATAAGTTAATATATTTTTTTATTAATCTAGGGTAAATACAATACAATATCTGTTCAAAAGTAACTCTCACGCTTTCGACATTCAACGCTCACACCCCTGATATCTATGATGCTCAAACTCGGGTCATCAAAGAATAACAACAATTCATTTATCACAGAGACCATTCGGTTCGTGGATATAAAAATATTTCTTAAAGTTAATATATATAAAATCTTATGAATTTAAGTTAAATATTTATACGTGCCTATCTTAGATCAAATATTAATCTTAGCACAATTATCGGTTACATGCTTGATTTCCCAAAAAAACTAAGATTCAATTGAAAGGTTAATTTTTTACTTTATTAAAAGTATAATTAAATAAAGAGAAAATGTAAATAACAGTGACTAAATATATAATTATACTAAAAATTCTAGTTAACAACAACTAACTCATGGTGACCGCATCTTAATTAGATAAAAACGAAAAAACCATATATCATATTTTTTAAAATCAATAAAGAAAAGTGAACAAAACATAAACATAAACGATCAATCATACAAATAATTTTGAATTAAATAAATTTATTTAAGTTTATATTTAAATTTAAATATAATTATTTATAATATTACGATACTGTTAAATTTAAACTTAAACCACGAACTATATAAAACTTCGAGTATAAAACTATCCATTGTTTCATCTTCTTTCAAATTGCAGTAAACATTGCAAATACAAACACTTAATATCAGACAAATGCAAAGAACTCTGTTGATTAATCCTCAGTCGCATGGCCACCTTCGGATTTGAGACTCGGTAATAGAAATAAAACATGGGTTTATAACACTTTGTATAGTGAAGGAGATTTTGTAGGAGGTCCTTTCTTGAATATGCTTCCATAGCATTTGACTTGACTCGACTCGACACGAAATCCAAAACCCGAAAACTGCTCTCTCAATTAGGTATACAGTTTCAGACGTGTCGTTACTGGTTGCCGGCACATTGGACATGATGAAATTGTCACCCCACAATCCTTGCAAGTCTTGAACAACACGAGATAAAACACGATAATCAATTATAAAGGAAGAAGTCTAGGCACTTAAACTAAATTTACCGACAACTGAAACCATTACCGATCTCAAAATTCAGAGTTCATTATCATGAAAAGAACTTCTACAAGAACATGTTCATGGCGTCTACCTAGACATGTATATCTAACACTTCACACAGAAGTATATATGACATCGACCGAAATATCTATGATGATATGTAAGAGATACATAAGCATACATGTATATATCCCAGAGAACGATGATGATGAAGATGAAAACATTACTAATTGTTTATCAGAGATATTATCTCTAAATATGTTCCGGTGCAGTCACCTAAGGATCTATACCAAAACTGTACTTTGAATTAATGATAGAAATCTTAAACATTATATGATACAATAAAAATGAACGCACCGTGTGACCGCATCCGAAAGCCATGTCCTTTGGGTTCGTCAGGCAGATAGGGCAGACCTTGAAGAAACAAATGAATATCTCAATATCAGTATACTAATTTGAATGGAGATTCTGTGAAAATGAAAACAAAAAACTTCATTGGAAAAGAAGTAAAAGAACACCCTATTACCGGTTCTGCTGCAGAACTTATTTCGGGTTGTGCAGGGGCTGTTGGCTGCACTGTTTCATAGTTTGTCATGTGCAGGAGTGATCTAACGGCATTATCATGATCGATCACGTCTCGTGGAGGCAGAAGTGGTCTTTCGTGTCTGTATTCTAGTTCTCGACTGCATAATTTAAAAGTTTATGTCTAAAATTGTTCCAAGCTGAAATTAGGTATTAACCGAAAGCTAGAGTTCTGGCCTTACTTATCAAAACGAATATTCAGGGTAGCTCTGTACTGATATGGAATTTCCATGAGGGCAGCAAGAGCAAAGGCTGCTTCTTTCTTCGATGTTTGCGTGTTCTCAGACATGATTTTCGTGAAGTTGACAAACTGCAAAGAATTCGTGACACAGAACATGTTCAAAGGTTTTACTTACTGTCACAAAATAAGCTTAACTTCTTAAAAAAATATCATAATGACAATTTAGTAAAATTTACTTCCGAGTAATCTTATATCTCCTCAACCAAACAATATAATCCCAACTAAAGCAAACAAGGTAAGGAAACATTCATAATGGGTCAAGTGATGTTACATTCCGAAAATCTATTCCCCGAGATAATTTTATACCCGTAAACCAAATGCCCTTAAAAGACAAATTAAACTTAACAACAAAAAGTTGTTCTTTGCATATTGATTCAAAGAATTGCTAACATACCTGGAAGTTGTCGAAGGCACGATGAGGAATATTATCATCAAATTGTTTCATTGAATCCCATGGTCCATCCCCCACTCCAACCAAAATAATTGAGAGAGGATAATGACTGCTTATTGAATACCATGATCAATAGGGTAAGAACACAATAAGATCTTAATCACTAAAAGTAACAGTTCTTTACCTAGCAGCAACAATGGAATCAACAGTTGCTTGTTCTTGTGGACTAAGCTTTCCACGAGCTACGTCGGGATTCCTCATAACCTACGCAATCGAATAAACATTTGGAAAGACTGATGCATAGAAGAAACGAATTATTTCAAACCAAGTGCATAAAGCATGTTTTTTAAACCTGTCCATCTGCTATTATGACAAGAACATGGTACTGTCCATTACTGCTATCCACAATGTCGATTGCAGCATTAATAATCGGAGCAAACGAAGTTGGACCTAGTAACGAAAATCAGAAATTAACATATTCAAATCTCTGCAACCATTCTGAAGAGTATGTGAGCATTAATATCTTTCAAGCAATAAATTAGATGAAAGTCATGACATTTTGTACAACAATTTTTCTGCCAAAGAAATTAGAAGAGAAGAATAGATAAGTAAACCACAATGGTGTACACTTTACAAAGTGCATAAATATATTAAAGAGAATAGAAGGAAAGATATTCAAAACCTGCCAACTTTATGTGCGGAACAATCTCTCTATACTGTGCAAGAGCTTCCTCAAAACCATGACAAGGTCGGTGATCAGGATAAAAGCTGAATACGTATTTATCATGTGTTGATGCTACCAAAAACAAAAGAATAATGAGATAACATATTCACGCAAGAGAGAAATCACTGGGACAAATAATGCTAAATAAATATACTAACCATCACCAAAACCAAAACAAGGTATTAAATTATCTTCATCAAAAGGGGATAAAGTACGACCAATTATAGAGATTGCTTGCTCGTATGGATTAGGTGAGCCACCAATAGCATGAAGGCTTCTTCTGTTGAATGAACTTCTCCCTATAGTAAAAAAATTGTGAGCTTCTTTCGGAGTAATTATTTATACAGTGTAATAAGAACCACACATTAAGAAAAAATGGGGCAAGGGGGTGTACCTGTCCACTCATTGCTCTTTGTGAAGTCAATACCAAGTATTAAGTTGGATGATTCAAGTCCAGCCTCTCTCAGTGCTGAAATAACCTGATTAAAGTGTAAATTTTTCTTGTTACTAAATGCATTCCACTCAAAACTACATCTCTTAAATAAAATAACACCATACAACAACATGATAAGCATATCCAAACATAAAGTAACTCATGCAACTCGGAATCTAAAAGATGAGAAATAGAAGAGAATGTATCATAATGACATTTTGTATGATGCTTGGATCGCATTGCACTTCAATTGCTTGTACAGTTTCCAGTGCATAGTGACCTCCAAATTTTAATATACTTTTTGCTTATATTAGTCCAAATTTGTTTGAACTTCTTTCTGCTAAATCAAGGACTATATTCTCCAATAGCTGTAGGGATGCCAAATCCTTCTTTAGTGCTATACATGTGATCTTAGTTCTACCTAAATCCCTCCTCATCTCCCCATGTATTTCATTACTCCAGTTAATGTGCATCTTCAGCCTGCATTCAATATTTTAAAACCATTCAAGTCATCCTTTAAAATTTATGATGAATGATTTTGTATTATTCTTTTCATTATAATCAACCAATTCTGGAATTGATTATTTTCTCTTGATGTTTCACTAAGCTTAAAATTTAATGTATCAGATCAAATACCAAAATAGGTCATATTTCTATCTAGACTAGCAATGCAACTGTAGAAGTATTGTTTTTCAAACAAGCCAAAACCAAACAAGACTTTGCAGTCAACAGCTATATTAAAAAAAGTACTTGTCATTCTCTTATGGTATGCTTCATATCTTAATTTTATTGGTTGTGCTATCAACAAATAATATCTTCCCTCAGCCAAAATAATAATTCAAAGTTAAGTAACGGTAAACACCTGATCCAATGAGCTGAAATTGTCAGGTATAGATGGGGCCTGCTGTCTGAAGTGATGGTTTTGATCCATTGAAGTTCCTGCTAGGGATGAAGGTGCATAAGAAGGTATAGACGGGGCTTGCTGTCGGGGTTGATGGTTTCGATCTGTTGAAGTTCCTGCTAGGGATGAAGGTTCATAAGAAGGTTGATGCCAAGAGTCAGAGTGAGAAGTATCACGATCATCATATCCTGATTCAGTATTTCCCATACCTGAGGAATCGGTACCTTTATGAAAACACAAACACACCTTTACATCAAATTGAGCTCATGAGAAACAAACAAATTTATGCATGCACTGAGAGTTCAACGGCACAAGGAAGAACACTTATACTTTCCTATTTCAAGCATTTTCTCTCTCGGAGTTTCATTCGATAACTTGCTTTGGAAAGAGAACCATTCCAGAATATGTGCTTTGATTAGAAACCAAAATCCAAAACCAACCAACTACTTTAAACAAAAATAGCTAAGACATAAATCAGCACCAACAAATGTTAATGCATTCAGGGATGATTTTACTAAGATTCTGAATTAAAAAGCAAACCTTACTGATTTTGATAACTTGGTTCTAAGTCTTTTTTTAAGTAAACCAAGATAATTTCCAAGTCCTAAAGTTTGTTTATCTGTCATAAACCAAATAATTTCCCTTTTAAACGCAATATGAAGCCGGGAAGCTATAGAAAAACTGAAATAAAAATTAAAACGTCAACAGCAATTCAAAGCTGAAATTTTTAATCCTAAAATCCCCCTCTTTTAACTTCTTTGATAATAATCTCCCAACAACCAGCTAGAAATTTATCGGCGGGAGGTCGAATTTTCTTTATAGATGGAGACTACTTTATACTCAGTTTCTCCAATTAGACCCATTTCTGTTTTCCTCTAACTTAGTCCCCAGCAATGAAAATATAGTAAATCAGCTCAAATTCCATTCCTTCAAAAAGATTAACAAAAATTATATCCAAATCCGAGAAAAGAAGACAGAAACAGATCAAAGGTAATAGATGTAATCCCACAAAAGCAAACAATTAGAAAAATGAAGTCATTTGCAATGGAACAAAGGCAATTTTGCAGGGAAAGTTACCTGTCTGATTAAGAGAGAGAAAAGGAAAAATAAAGAGTGCCGAAGATTCAGGTGGATTGAAGTCTTTTGAGTATAGAAATGGATATCCATTGATAACGACACGTTTGTCGACGATTTTTTTTAAAGCATGCCTTTTTCTTTTCTAGTTCCTTGTCCGAGCGGTTCACTTGTTTGATTTCAGTTTTCACGAACCTACAGATCAATTTTGATTGTCGGTGATCTCGGTACTATAATTACCGTTGGATTCATTCTATCTGGCTGTCATATAGATTTGTGAGGGTTGCGTTGACTGTTACCCGGTGGTAACCAGAACGTGGACGAGTAATCGGCAATTTTACCCAAATAACACCCTAACAACAAAATATTATATGTCACACATTTTTCTTCAAATATTACCGATCTAGCACTCTTTCTGACAAAGTACGGGTCATAAAGCGCACATTCACAGGGTTTTGTCTGAGCTAGCACCACGGTGGAAAAGCGTGGATCATGAAGCGCGCATTCGCGGGTTCTATCCGAGCTGGCGTTATGTAGCAATGGCGCGGATCATGAAATGTGCATTCGTTGGGAAATCTGACATATGCATGGAAGGCGTGAATCATGATGCGCCTTCCATTATTCACAAATTATTGTACACTCCATTATTACCTGAGCCAACTTTCTCGATCAACCATCCCCTCCCTATAAATATTCCCAGATACAAACATCAAATCACACCAAAATTACTTTCACGGCTGTAGATATAAATTTGTGGTTGTTGTGATGGTTCTAGTGTTGTAGCTGAGGATGAGCCGGAAACCCCTACTCTCCATCCATGAGTCGGGGGACGATGATGTTGTGATGGTGGATATTTTTCTCGACGCAAATGAATGCTCCCGCCTCGTGCTTCCTCGAAAAGTAAGAACGACTTCTCGTTCATATTGAACCATTGATAAAAGTCATCTGCAACCGAATAATGAACCACATAAATCGGCTCCCTACGGGAAATGCGTCCATGTCGATCCTCTTAGATAATTAATCACTTGTTGTGTTTCATCAGCCAATTGACTTCTTTTTTTCCCGTCTATTGATTTTATGCATATTGTCGAGATTCCTATGTGCTTCAGGAATAGATTGTACGAAACCAAATTGGCAGAGCACGTGATCAATAGGATACCACTCGACAATAGCATAACATATCAAAGGGATCTAATGGGTCACTCAAGTGAATTGTGATGCAACACCTCATTTCTTTAGTAGAATAATGAGTCCATTGAAACTAAAACAAATATATATAATTCTTATCAAAATAATATTATAATTATATAACGATAATTAAATGTAAATAATAAAATTTAAATGCATACCTCTGTACCAACCTTTTGATCAACGAGCAACCGAATTTCTTCTAATTCGTCTAGTATATTATGGTGATCTTTCCTTAAGATGACCACCTATTCAGTGTAAAAAAAATTCATTATATACTCAAAAAAATTATTTATATACAAACTTAGTATTGAAATTACCTCAATAATAACGGGAAGACTAGCGTGCTTTTCATGGCCGGACATAAAAAAGACATGCAATACCACGCCCATGATTGCAGAAGAAAGAGACACCTATCGATAGCATTTTTTTGATAATCAGTTGCTCGAAATATTTCTCTATATAGAGATGTAATACCCTAATTTTAGGGTAAGTGATCATAGTGAAAGAATTTAAAATTTGGTGGGTTAAATTAAATAAATTGAAAAGTATGAGAAATGATTTAGGAAATGGTGTTTGAGACTTATTAGTAAGAATGGAAGAATAGAGGGACAATTTAGTCATTTAGATGAAATGAATTTAAAATTCATTTAATTGGGTTATTTAATAAAAGTGAACTGGAGAATAAGAGGATAAGTTAGGTTGGTTCTCTCATCTTCTTCTTTCTCATATCCCGAGCCCCCAATAGTAAAGATAAGGCTTCATCTAGTTAGTTTTTCCTTTTGTTTTTGGTTTGGTTATGAATACTTAAGTGTTATAGAGGTTTAAGGAAAGTTCAAGGAGGATTAAAACTAAAAGATGAAGGATTTATATAAGATTTAAGAAAATGAGTATTTAAATAATTTGATGAAAATTGGCATGATATTGAAGTTTAAAGGTATATTTGACTTGCCAAAGAGGTAAATAAGAGATTGGGAGCCTTAGAAAAGGTTAGAAACATGTTTGAAATTTGAGTGTGATTTTTAGTTTTAAGGGTTCTTGAAAGTTATTGGATATTATAGGGAGATTTATGGATGTATGTTAGTTGGATTAAGTGATGATGAGTTTTCTGGTATAGTTGGGGAAAAAAGTAAGAGTTTTAGTTAGAAATTTGGTAAAAATCGAAGTGAAATATGTAAATTTTGGGTAAGGGTATCGATACTGGAAGATCAATATCGATACTATAGGGTTAAATTTGAGGAAAGAAGATGATTACGATGAACAATATCGATATTGATGCAAGTAGTATCGATACTAAAGTGGAGTATCGATACTAAGAGGAAGGTATCGATACCATTATTGAAAAATGGATTCCATAATGCAAAAATGGTATCGATACTGAAGGGAGTATCGATACCATAATATAGAAGTATTGATACCATAGGAGGGGTATCGATACTATTTAGCCTGGAATTTTAAGTTAGGATGAACTTTAATAGAATTCAAGAATAATAGTACTTTGAGTATTATTATTTTGTATAAATGTTTGAAAATATACTAACGTTTGTATTTTGTGTGTGTGTTAATATGGATTCTTGTGTAGATCGTAACCAAGCTCCTGAATCCAACAAGCAAAAGGGCAAGGATAAAGTTGTCGAATCGTTGGACATCAGTAAGGCATAATAGTGAGGCATACCAAGTAAGTGCAATTATTGTACTTATATGAGATGATGATGACTTGCGATGAGTCAACCTTGAATGTCTGATTAAAGTATGTTTTACAATATTTCGATATGTTTTCATAATGTTATGGGAATTGATACAAGAATAATTGTAGAGTATGAATTGCTCTAAAATGAATAGTTGAATGTTTATGTTGTGCAATCTGCTAAGTTGATTGAATAGCCCATTGTATGCGCATTGAGAGGCAAATGTACATTTCGACATAAATTGTATATAAAAGTTATCGATCGATTTTGTTAATGCATAACAGTGTATTTTCGTATCAGTACTGTGTGTACTTGGCACTAGATGTGCAATCATGGTATTCATAATGAGTTTGTGAATCACCATTTCGTTATACAATTATGTATAAAAGTTATCGATCGATTTTGTTTAATGCATAATGGTGCATTTTCGTATTAATATTGTGTGTACTTTCGACACTATGTGTACATCCATGGAATTCATAATAAGTTTGTGAATTTCCATTTCGGCACTTCGTTGCAATGCATGCACCTTACATTCTCATTTGGCATACATTTAGAAAATAAAGGATAAATTGGAAAATACTGATTGATAGGTATATTGGGAATACTAAATATAGTTAATCATGTTATTTGAATGAAGATTGGTTCGCCAAGCTAGTTTATGTATTGATATGATTTATACGATTTTCATTCATATTTTGATATTTTATGATATGCTTATATTTAAGTACAATTCATTTTGTATTGTTATGCCCCACTAAGTAAATACTTAGCATGTGTTGATTTCACATATAGGAAATAGCAAAGAGTAGCGGAGTAAGGAGTGCAGTGGATATCATCAATCAAATGTTGTCTCATCAGTAACTGTATGACATTTATGTCTATTTTTTATAATTAGCCGACATGTATTTAGGCTTATAAAAATTCTCTGGAATGTATTAAAGCTATAATTTTTGTAATATGTTACAACGAACATTTTATTATTATTATTATATTAAAATGTTTTGTTTTATTTGCGAAACAAATTTTATGAGTTTACAAATAAGGAAATGTTTTAAAAGTTATGTGACACTTGTGACTTGTGTACGAAAACGTATCCGAGAAATGGATGTTACATTTATTAGTATCAGAGCTACATGTGTAGTCGATTCTCGGCCTAAACTGAGTGTATTTTGCTTTAAAAAGGGTTTATATGCTGCTAAGATGTCAAGGTTATTGATATGGTATAGTTAGATATATGATTGATGTTACTCCTTATTAACTTGAGTGTTATTATTATGTATGTACGAATAGATGCTAGAATTTACGAATTCGCGAAGAGCGACTAATCAAGAAGATAGAGAAGAGTCAGGTAGTGAGAACTATGAAGGTAATAGTGACCATCTGATCCTTTTCGAAAATGCTAGTGCACCAACACATCAGGGTATGTTAGTGCCAGAGTTTAGAGTTTTTATGCAAGCTTTTGATGCTATTTTGACTCGATTCCAACCACCTCATCCTCCCCTTGCTCCTCCAG